GGGTCACAGACTGGAAGGTGGGGTGCAGATGGAAGGCGGGTCACAGACTGGAAGGTGGGGTGCAGACGGAAGGTGGGTCACAGACTAGAAGGCGGGGTGCAGATGGAAGGCGGGGTACAGATGGAAGGCGGGGTGCAGACGGAAGGTGGGTCACAGACTGGAAGGCGGGGTGCAAATGGAAGGCGGGTCACAGACTGGAAGGTGGGGTGCAGATAGAAGGCAGGTCACAGACTGGAAGGCGGGGTGCAGATGGAAGGCGGGTCACAGACTGGAAGGTGGGGTGCAGATGGAAGGCTGGTCACAGACTGGAAGGCGGGATGCAGATGGAAGGCGGGGTGCAGATGGAAGGTGGGGTGCAGATGGAAGGTGGGGTGCAGATGGAAGGTGGGATGCAGATGGAAGGTGGGGTGCAGATGGAGGATGCATGCAGACAGAAAGTGTCTACAAATGGGAGGTGGGTGTAGCCAGATGTGCACAGACAGAAGGTGGGGTGCAGACGAACGTGGGTACATATTAAAGGTGGGGTACAGGTGGCAGAGGGGTTGCAGACAGAAGGTGCTCTGAAATGGATGCATGAACAGGTGAGAGGGTCAGCCTCCCCACCGGTTGGCTCACCTGCTGGCCCCAGGCTGTCTTCAGGACTTGGAATTTCTCCACGTTGCCACTGTTGAAGGCGTACAGGGTGTCAATGAGCCACTGCCGGTCCGTGTTCCTCAGCGATTCCAGCACAGGGTGCATGAGCTGTGGGGGGCAGACGGTCAGCCAGGAACCATCACAGCTGTCCCTTCACCAGGGAACTGTGTCCAGGCCAACTTACGAGCTCTCCGAAATTAAACACGCCTTCGCCGAGCAGTCCAGCAAGCCCCAGCGTGAAAGCCCTCTCCTGCTGCTCTGATACTGCAATGACAAAAGATGGTCAGTCAGTCATGGAAGCAAGGAGCCCTCACATGTCCCCACTGAGCCACTTCGAAGTCCTCAGACCCCGACCACATCTAAGACATTTCCAGGAGTACGGTTCCACAGACCCAAGCCCCACTGACCCACTTCCAGATGTGGGGGCTCCTTAGGCTCCAATCCCACCTGAACCACTTCTGGCAGGAGCCATAATAATTAAGGAATTAAAATGAAGAAATTGAGACTTATTAATCGAGGAATTGAAAAAAAGAAATGAGACATGGGGAATCCTGCACATAAAAAAAGACTCATTGTTTTAGCAGCGCTACAATGGAGTATTTTCTTTGGATGGCAGAGCCACAAGGCATTATTTTATGCACAGGCCCCTAGTTAAATTTTCTCTTGTTAAATCATTCTCTGATTTATTCATGATTTTATTAGTATCCCTTTACTTTAGATTTTGACTCTCCTACACTTTAGTATATTTTTATTAAAAGTTAGAAGCCATATATTAGCTACATTTTATTATACTCGTAATCATAGGTAGTTTTAATACTTATATTAACAATGTTCTTAAGACTGCTAAGGAGACAGGATTTGTCAGTTGAATTACTACCAGCTTAGGTTTAGTGATTGTAAGCATTCTTCCTTGTAGCCTTAGTTTAAGGCAATAAAGAATCCCTAAAAAGCAACTCGGCCATAAATAAGGGCTGTGGGTACAAGAATTCCTAAAAACAGTTAGACTTTAGATAAGGGCTATGAGAATCTGCAGTTACATAAATAAGAAGTCTGATCAGTAAAATAGGGGAATTGTTTTTCATAGCCTCAGTTTTTTAAATGTTCTGATAAGTGATGTTTTTGTAGGCTATAAACAGATAGTGTATGGAAGAAGTTAATGGAGAGTTAATTGCACCTAACAACTAAAATTAACAAGACTCAATAGATAGAGGTTAAGAAACATATGTGAAGGTTAACTTGCTTCTCAGAAAAAAGAATAGAAGTTATTTATGTAGGAACTAATGTTTTAACTAAAAGGTTTCAAGGCGCCAGAATGTCTCCTATGCCTTGAGATAATGTCTTTGCTGTAACTTCTTGTCCCTGTTGTAAACCATGAAGAATGTGCCCCAGAATAGATTGTATTTTGAGGACATTGATTACTATGAAAGCATGTTTTTTGTAACAGTATATAAGGGGGTTGTTAGATAGAATAAGAGAAGTAATGTGTAGAAGGAGAAAGAATAACAGAGTAATGTAGACAAGGAAAAAGGGGAGTGGAGTAGTGTAAAGATAGAAAGTAAGTAGAGGAGAAGAAGGACAATAAAGCATGTAAGACAGAATAAGTAAGTAGAGGTGGGTAGAAGAGAAGAAGGAATAAGAGGAAGGATAAAAAAGCACCTAAGAAGAATAGAGAGGGAAAGCAGAAGAGCAGGGGAGTAAAGAATGAGAGAAGAAAGCATAAAGCATGTAATAAGAAGATTTTGAATTCATCATGACTTATCGACTATGTGCAATTCTTTCCGCCGACGCATGCATCAACCTTTGGGAAATCCTGGAATAAATTTTCCGGGGCTGGCTCCCGGCACACTTCTAAGTGTGGGGGCTCCTCAGACCCCAGCCCCTCACTGCAGAAGTGGTACCATTTCCTGCTCATCAGTCCCTTTGAACACTGGAAACAACAGGCTTCCTGGAGCTGCTTTTTCCAGAGCATTTCCTATTCAAGGACCTGCTGGCTGGCCTCCTCAGCTTCAGCAGCAAAGCTCAAAAAAAAATATTTTTTTAAATCCATAAAACCCCACTTGAACTACTCTGGAAACATCTTTCACTTGCACTTTCCTCAAGCTCATGGGTCACATTTCCCTCGACTCTCAGCTCCTCAAAAGACACTGTGAATGGCTCTCATCTCCAGACCCCACAGGCCCCTCCTCAAAGAACTCCCAGGGTGAAGGTCTCTGGCTGGAGGAGCAGAAACTACAGCAGACAACCCAGGAAAGGCGTGTGCGTGTGCGTGTGCGTGTGTGCGTGCGTGCGCGTGTGTGCGAGTGCGCGTGTGTGCGTGTGCGTCCGTGCGCGTGTGTGCGTGTGTGCGTGCGTGCGCGTGTGTGTGCGCGCCGAGTGACGATGTGTGCTGATCCTCATGGTACCTGGCAGGTCTTTAATGTCAATGCAGCCCAGAAACCGCAGGGCGTCTTTGTAGTAGGAGGCGTGGTTCCCGATGGTCTGGTAGTATTTACTGGACAGGTCGTAGAAGCGGCTGTGGACGGATGTCACTCCGGACAGGTTGTTGAGCATTTCTTCCACCTCCTCAATTGTCTCCTACACACAGGAAGGAACACTGTCCTTTCTGAACTCAGATGTTTATCATCCATTTGTAGCAAGACAAAAAAAATAAACAGCAACGTAAAGCACAAAGGCAGACGGATTCATCGGATCCCAACAAAACGCCTTCAGTTCATTCAAACACAAAGAATCCGCGGGAAAGCCAGGTGAGCCCAGGGGTGACGATGCAGGCCACACAACAGCTCTGTCTGCAGAAGAACAAGGGCGAAAGCTACCAACAGGGTATTTAAGAAGTGGACACACAAATGGCCAAAGCGACTGGGTTTCTGGATGCCATCCTGTGAGGGGCACAGCCCTCTTTACAGAAACGCGGCAGAGCTGGGAGAGAGGTGTGCGCCCCACGCCCAAATCCCCAGCCCAGGCTGGATGACCATCCTGTAGCGGACCACAGTGATCTGTGCAGAACCCAAGAGACCACTATGCCCACAGGAGTGAGGCACAAGGGTGTGGACAGCTGTCACTCAGTGTAGAAATAAACGAAGATACTATGTGGACAGTCACACAACAGGACACCACACAGCAATGAGAGCCAGAGGGCCACGGGCTGTCCTGGAGTGTGCGGGCATGAGACACGCATGGGCTGTGGGGTTTGCAGGGGTGAGGCAGGGCAGGGCCGGGCTGGTAAGCAGGGCCAAGGCTGGAAGGGATCAGCAACAATGAAAGTGGGTTTTAGGGCAATGAGAGCAGGAGCCATTTTGACTCTTTTACTCCCAATATTTTAACGCTATAATTACCAAAAACAAATTACATGTGTGTTCTGGTTAAAAAAGGAGGGACAAGCATAGACATTTGTGCCAACTGCGACCCATGTCCACCACCTGTCCCCACAACTGCACCAACATAAAAACACAGAAGACTCGGCCAAGTTGAGAGGGGAGGAGGCTGCTGTCCAGAGAAGACTGGCTCTGCAGAGTGAGGGGTCTGAGGACATCTGTGCACAAGGACAGGAAATGGTCAATTTTACAGCTGGGGAGCTGGGGACAAGCGCATAGAAAAGTGCTTTGTGCAATTTTCCCAACTTTTCTATAACCTGAAATTACTTAAAAAGAACTGGTTAGGGAGAAAACAAGGCTTTCCCTGCAGATCTAAACTGCTGTTGTCAAGGCGCTCCCACCTTGGTAACTTGCAGGTCCCCAATGTTTAGTTTTAAGGCTCCGATTGCTGTCTTACACAGGATTACCGCCTCGTCACTGCTTTTCACCTGCGGAAATCAACCACGAGGACCCTCAGACGTGGGGCAGCAATGGGACGGCCCAGACACATATTCTAAAAGGCATTGCTGCCCCTCATTACCTTCTCACGGGTCTTCTCCAGAAAGGTGAGGGCCACAGTGGGGTCTAGGAAAGGAAGGGACACAGTCAGAAGATCTCCCAACAGCACCTTTGCAGACCGGCTTCTTCCACTCACAAAACCAATGACAGGCGGCTGATTGCTAGGTTCAGACCATTCCGCACAGTAAAACCCTGACCTAGAATGAGTTCTCTATGAACATGCATTTGGACCGCGGCATGGATCTGCTCACCCGTCATCTGTCTCACGACATGAAGGATGATCTCCACCAGGGACAAAGGGTTCACCCTGAAACACAAGCCACCATCTGAGCCCGTGAGTGTCGATACACTCTTGTCAAAGTCAAAGACGAACAAAAGGATTTTACCTGTGTTCAAATTCACTGATGAAGTTTTCATAAAGCTGCGAAATCAAAGGAGGGAGAGTCAGTACAGGAGGGCTTGCATTCTGCAAAATCAAGACTCTGAGCATGGTTTCTAGTGACCAGCATGAGTTTACAAGCACATGCCAAGCACACAGTAGGCCTTCAGGGAGCTCCAGGGTCAGTGAAGAAAACACACTAGCAAACAGATCATACTGTGAGCTTGTTTTGCCGTTAGGTGCCTTTCAGCTTGTTCCCTAGTGACCCTCAGACACCAAAACCACAGGCCGCCTGGTCCTGCACCGTCCTCACATCACATTGTTTCAGTCACTGTATCAATCCAGCTCACTGAAGGGCTGCTTCCTTTCTGCTGACCCTCCACTTGACCAACATGATGTCCTTGTCCAGGGACCGGTCCCTGTGAGCTGAGCAGCAGCCGAAGGGAGAGATTTCAATGAAGGTAACTCCAGAAGTGGAAACAACTGAGTGTTAAGTGATGCAGAGGTGAAGCAATTGGGAGAGGGAGAGGGAGTGTTTGGAAGAAGAACATTCCAGATGGAGACAAACATGTGCAAAAGCAATGAAGGAAAATCCGGATTGTGTTTCAGGGGCATCTCAGAGGACGGCAAAGTGCACGGCTTGGGGCCTGACCCCTGGTCAGACCTTTACCCTCAGTCAGGGCAGAAGCAGTGAAGGGGTTAAGCCAGGAGGCCACTGCCACAAACGGAGATGCCGTGGATGATGGATGAGGGGGAAGAGCCTGAGACCCCTGTTGGTAAAAAGCTGAACCAGAACTCGGTCAGACGTGGGGTAGGAGAATCACTCCTGAGCTGTGGGGAAGTAACTGGACGAAGAGGTGCTACCACTGGGCTGTACACCCACAAAGAGGAACCCGTGTGGGCAAAGCAGGAAGATGGAACCGTCAGCTGAGTCCAACCCTGAATCTTCCTTGGAAGGAAGGCGGGAAATTGGAAACGTCCATATGGTCGTCAGCTGGGTACTTAGACCTGCTGCCAGAAATAAACGGAGTCCTGGTGTGGCACTGCAGGATAATGCACTGGACCACAAGGTCAGACTGAACCGCAGGGTCGGTGGTTCAAATTCACCAGCCGCTACACAGAAACCCTATACAGGATCGCTATGAGTCGGCAGCGACTTGATGGCAGTTAGCAGTAACACCCGCCAACGCCAGAAGTAAATGGTTTCTTCTCTAAGGAAAACACTTCAAGGGTACAGTCCTCCTAAGAAATGCTTCCATTTTTCTGAGATAAACATTGTAATTCACATATTATAAAGGAACTACCCATAGATACCCACCAAGGTTAGACGTCACATTTCTGGTGATGTCATAGATACTGATCCATCTTGCATTTATGTGGGCTGGATGATTAAAGGGTTATTTTGACCCCCGAAAAAGAGACCTCAAATCTGATGACCTGCTGTCTGTTGAGTGTGGAAAAGTGACTGGGAGACCAGAAAGCAGGAAATGGGGACAAGTCCGAGCTATCCATCAGCGTAATGTGGACACCGGAGAACAAGCATTAGGACGGATTTCTTCCAGCATCTTCCCACGTAGCCCAGGAGAAGGCATGCCCACCACAACCTCCAGGCTTTCTGGGGCTGTGGTAAGCATGACAGTGTGAGGCCAGGTGAGGCAGCAGCGTGTCATGGAAGCCTCCTAGTGAGCACACCGAGTAACTCCCCATGTCTCCTGCTGCCGTCATCTTCTCTCTGTCCACCTTCCTCTTGTTGCCTAGTGCCTGCCCATCACCCTGCCCTCTACCTGTGAAGAACTTCCTCCGCAGCCCCGTAACCATAACACAGGGTTTAATCCAAAAAGAAAAATCTCTTACCTTCTTACAACAGCCTTGTTGGTGTTGTTGTTGTGATGTACCGTGGAGTTAGTTCCGACCCATAGCGACCCTGTACAGGGTTTCCGAGGCTGTAAATCTTTACAGGAGCAGAAAGCCTCATCTTTCTCCCACGGAACAGCTGGTAGTTTCGAACTGCTGACCCTGAGGTTAGCAGCCTGATTCGTAACCACAACACTACACAATATTTATTCTTTAGTGACTGAGTAACTTCACTCAGCATAATGTTCTCCAAAGGGGCTCTGGTAGCACAGTGCTTATGAATGGGAGAAAGAGGAGGCGTTCTGCTCCTGTCAAGATTTACAGCCTCGGAAACCCTGTGCAGGGTCCCTATGAGTGGGAACCGACTCCACGGCACACCACCACCAATTCTCTTCAGGTTCATCCAGGTCGTGAGGGGTTTTGCTCAGAGTGAGTAACCCCAGCTACCCATGACAATGCAGGTACAAGTCTTTTATTCATTAGAATCAGAGAGAGAGATTTCAGGAAAACCCTCAGAGCAGCGGCTCCCTGTGAGCAAATGTGGGGTGTCTCTCAGGGCCTGAGGAAGGATGGGATAGTGTGAAAAGGGCACAGTGTAGCTGGCCACTTGCATTCTGGGAAACGGGAGGGAGTCTGGGAGGCCTGGCTGAAGGACAGATTTGAGTTACTGCACAGAAAGGAGGGGCTGTTGAGAAAGCTCTGACACAGAGAGACGTTGTCCCAGGCAAACAGCTCAGTGACAGCTCTGGAAACAAAGCAGCCAGGGAAGCCAGAGCAGTCAGGATTTCCAAACAAAACCAAGACTTTAACCAGGCAAAGCCATCACTTAACCAAGAAAATGAAGGAGTCCCGGTGTGGCACTGCCAGTTAAGGCGCTGGACCGCAAAGACGGGCTGAACCACAAGGTTAGCGGTTCAAGCTCACCAGCCGCTCCTCAGAAACCCTGTACAGGGTCGCTAGGAGTCAGAACCAATAATAACATCCCTCACTAACACAGAAGCAAAAATTCACAACAAAATCCTAGCCAACAGAACTCATCAACATATCAAAAAAATAATACATCATGATCAAGTGGGATTCAAACCGGGATGCAAGCAAGAATGGTTCAGAATCAGGAAAGCAATCAACATAACCCACCACATAAATAAAACAGGAAACCAACTGCACGATCATTTCAACTGAGCAAAAAAGGCATTTGACAAAATCCAACGATTATTCCTAATAAAGACACTCAACAAAATACAAACAGAAGGGAAATTCCTCAACATAATTAAGGGTATATATGCAAATTCCTCAACATAGTTAGGGTATTTATGCAAATTCTTCAACATAATTAAGGGTATACATGCAAATTCCTTAAGAGAATTAGGGTATATATGCAAAACAGACAGAGACCTGGTGAGGTGCTATAGGATAAGCACTGGACTACTAACCACAAGGCTGACCGTTCAAACCCACCAACCGCTTCTTGAAAACCCTATACAGGGTTCACTATGAACCAGAACCAACTCAACTGCATAAAAAACAACATACAAACGCAACAGCCAACATCACTCTCAGTGTTGAAAACGTAGTGTCATTGTCCTTGTGAACAGGAACCAGATAGGACGCCCTTTATCACTCCTATTCATAACTGTGCTGGAAGTCTTAACCAAGATACAAGGAAAGAAAGAAAAATTAAAGGTACCCAAATTGCCAAAAAAGTAAAACTATTTGCAGGTAATATAATCCTATACTTAGAAATCTCAAAGACTCCTCAAGAAAGTTAGTGGAACTCATAGAAAGATTTGACAAAAGTGGCAGGATACAAGAACATATAAATATCAGTTGTATTTCTTTAAACTAATGATGAGAGATCTGAAAAGGAAATCAGAGCCACACAGAAGATAAAATACTTGGGAATATATCTAACCAGAGAAACAAAAGACCTATACAAAGAAAACTACACAACACTCCAGGAAACAAACAAAAAAGACCTTGAGAAATGGAGGAGTATACCCTGCTCATGGACAGGAAGACAACATAGTGAAAACATCAACACTGCCCAAAGCAATCCATATACATAATGCAGTCTAACCCAGATCCCAAGAACACGCTTTAAAGAGATGGAAAAACTCATCACTTTGTATGAAAAGGAACTAGACCCAGGATAAGCAAAGCATTATTAAAAAGAGAACAAAGTAGAAGGCCTCTCACGTCCTGATCTCAAACCTACTACACAGCCACAGTAAACAGTCTGGTACTGGTACAATGAAATACACATAAATCAACAGAACTGAACTGAGAACCCAGAAGGAATTCTATCCACCTATGGTCAGCTGATTTTCAACAAAGGCCAAAATGCATTCAGTGGGGAAGAGACGGTCTCGTCAACAAACGGTGCTGGCAAAATTGGAAACTGCCAACCTTGTGGTTCAAACTGACCTTGTGGTCCAGTCCAGTGCCACTGGTGGTGGTGGCGTGCCGTGGAGTCGGTTCCAGCTCAGAGTGACCCTGTAGAGCTTCCGAGGCTGTAAATCTTTACTGGAGCAGAAAGCCTCATCTTTCTCCTGTGGAATGGCTGGTAGTTTTGAACTGCTGACCTTGAGTTATCAGCCCAACTCAGAACCACTATGCTACCAGAGCTCTTTCCAGTGCCATTAAAGATGCAAGTCAAAACAATGAGAGAGTAGCCTGCTCCAGTGTTAATACCAAAGTTACAAGAAAACATAGACGACAAAGAAGTGCCTGCACTTCCTGCAAGGGGCGGGAGAGTACGGGATGCTCTTGCTGCTGCTGGTGAGGGTGGGAAATGTGCTACCGCCGTGGAAGATGGCATCCAACCAAGCAATCCCTCTACTTAGTGTCTATCTCCCAGGAATAAGAGCCAAGACATGCTCTATGCAAACCCATGTTCACTGCAACACTATTCACAAGAGCAAAAAGATGGAGATGGCTTAAATGCCAATGGAATACTATACAACAGTGAAGAGTAATGATGAATCTGCAAAACACCTCACAACATGGATGAACCTGGAGAACATGATGCTGAGTGAAATCAGTCAATCACAAAGGAACAAATATTGTACGAGACCACCATTGCAAAACGTCAAGAAAAGGTTTTCTTGTTATACACTGGAGTCCTGGTGGGGCTAATGCTGTGGGCTAATGCATGAGATTGCAAAGTCGTTTGAACTGCAAAGTCGGTAGTTCAAGCTCACCAGCTGCTCCTTGGAAACCCCATACAGGGTTGCTATGGATCGGAATTGACTCAATGGCAGTTAACAACAACAACAATTATGGTTACGGAGGGTGCGGAGGGAATTATTCACAGGCTAGACACAAGTCAGCGTGGGTAATGGGGCAGCCAATACCCTAGAGGAAGGCAGACAGAGGGACAATGAGGGCAGCAGGCGACGCAGAGAGAAGCGCAGAGGGAACTACTGTGAACTGATGGAGCACGGATGGAATTGTAAACAAACAAACAGGCTATGAGCTGGCCAACAGACAGGGTGGGAATAAAGGAGTGCCAACAGTGCTGAGGGTCCTCCAACACGTTATATACCACATGACCTATGCAAAACTAGGAAACTGAGGCTCCCACCCACTGAAGACCATGGCAGTCTGCATGTTGTAAGGTGTGATACTGCAGGATAATACACTGAACCGGGAGATCAGTTTGAACCACAAGGCCGGTGATTCAAACTCTCCAGCCACTCCTCAGAAACCTTAGACAGGGCTCTATGAGTTGGAACTGACTCACCAGCACTTAACAATAAGGTGTAAAAGGTAATATAAATTGATACCTTAGCTAACTCAGGAACACCACCAAAAATGTCTGGTTTGGAAAACAAACAAGATGGCGGATCGGGTGGA